CTGATCATCAGAATGAGAAAGGACTTATCCCCAGTTCTATCTCAGCATGATTCAACCACTCCAGATAGAAATCAACTATTTATATCTACTCATTAACTTCTCTATCATAATTAAGGTTTCTTTTTAGGGCCAGATTCAATAGCCTGGCCCTAGGACTCCTATATGGGAACTTTAATAAAGTTCCTATGGCCATTAAGATTTATGTTTATATTGTCAAATTGTTTTATTATGAGCTGAATATTTACCTCGCCTTTTAGATTGAGACACAAATTTTATCCAACAATTTTAGTTCTAATAGTGTGTACTGTTATATAATTTCTTTCATTCTATTTACTCATGCCATATTTGTACACCTGATCTTAACCATACTTTTTCTTTCTTTTTTTCACTAAACAGAATTAATAATATCTATCTATCTGTCCATCTATCCATCCATCCTTCACTAGAAGACAGGGAGCAGACAGCAGAATATGAAATGTATGCAAAAAAGAATCATTACAGAATACTAAACCCAAACATACAGTATATATCCTGTTCAATGCCAACAAATAAACAATATTTGCTCTTACCCATATGTCCATTCTGTGGTGGACTTATCAGTGATATTCTTGTTGGGCCAGCTACTGTTTCAGTCTGCATATAATTCAAAAATATTCACAATATAATAAACTAAAAACATGGAGTGCAACTAATTATTTCATATTATAAGTTATTTCTTGCTTCCTTGCTACTGTTGCTACTGAACTAAGAACTTTTTAATTTGTCAGAAATGTACCACTTTTTTGAGAAGAAATATTACTAACTTGTATTACTTAAAAGAAATGATGATTCAGCCTATGACAATTCACAAGAACAGAGCTGGATTTTTTTTAATTGGCTCAACAATAAATTATCCCCTTCCTCTGCTATAAATATCTTCTGACAAGAATCTGTAACAGCCAAAGTCTAAGCATCCTGCAAGCTATGTGAGTCTCCTAGTTGGTGGACTGCAGACAACAAAATGTAGGCTTGCAAGGTACTTTCTCTATATTACTAAAACATATTACTGTATGTGAAAGCCTCAGCTGACCAAAGCTTTGATAGGTGGAAGACTTAATATCAATGGGTCTGTTACCTGGAATTTTAGGCTTCATTATTAGCTTTTTAATAAAGGAGATATTAGCATTTTAGAATGGCATCCATGCCTCCTTTTGAAGTTCAAGAAACCATGCGTTCCTTTTAGCCAAAGCTATTTCTTTTTTACTAGCCTTTTCAGCAACTAAACAATAAGGAGTGTATTCTGAAGTCCTTGATTAAAGTTGCAAGTGTTAAAGAAACAAATCCAGATGGGAAAAGAGGAGATGCAATATATTTTAAGGGTGTCTATCTTTTCTCAGTCTAACAAAGCAAAGCCTCTATTGCACATCAATGTCTTTTATTGTTTGATTTGTTGCTTTCTGACACATCACATATACTGAATGTATGTATCATTTGTTTCTGTCCATGATATAAAGACTTGACCCCCCCCCTTTAATAAATGCTGTTTGCTTTGCCTGAAGTGCTTATGATTTCGTACTGTTGGGGGAGGGGAGTGAAAAAGCTACTTTGCAAAGTTAGTCTCTCTCTCCCAAATTCAGAGATCAAGTTCTTATCAGCTCCAGGCCAATTTGGGTGCCTGAGTTTTAAAGGCAACAGGCCCACCTGATGATGTCCTTAGCATATGGAAGATTACAATCTAGAATGTAAGAAAAGTAATTGGGGGGGGGATGTGAATGCATGTGCATTTTTGTATACAGATAATGAGAGAAGGGGAAGACTGAGGAAGTTATAATTGGATGGTGTAGATGAGATACTCAAAGAGAGGTAAGAAGTTTAAAGTGCAAAATGCAAAATGAGTGTATGAATTTGTGCATGGATGTGAGGGAAGCAAGGATGGTTTGTAAAAATAAAAAGGTATGGAGAGTTATAGTGAATGGTGAATTTAAATTAGATTTAGTCACACAATGTGAAACCTTGTTTTAATTGACCATTTGGGGGGCGGAAGTGTCTGTTATTCTTGAATGTCTATTAAATCATCATGATGTTTTACTTCATTTGCATTGCATTTACATCTTTAGGCAAATTATGTAAATCACTGTGGTTGTCATAATTAAGATAAATTTAATAGCCTTATCTGGACCATTTTGGATGCAATAAACTTGTCCGTTATTTCAGAGAGATATCCAGTCAGAAATGTGGTCCTTTGCATCCAAAGTCTGCTAAATAAGAGTCAGTTAAAGTTTAACTGTACTTTCTTTTCCTTTTTTCCTATCTCAAGCCTTTAATTTCTTTTGCTTACTCTTACAACTTTTCTGTATTTTGCACAACACAGCTTATTCCAAAAGAGAATAGCATGATGTATATAGATACATGTCAAAGTCTAACAGGTGAACCTTTCTCACCTTGCAGACAAAGGCAAGAAATCATTACTTGCAGAATTTCTTTCCATGAAATTATTTAAAGTGGTATGGGCAAATTTTTAAACTAAACATGAACGAACAGATCAGAATTAACCTTACATTCACTTCAGTTGCAACACTACATACCTACTCCCAAATACTACTTTTCTAGTTAAATTCAAGCAACAGGCTATGGACAGAAAGAAAATATAACAGCAGTCAACTGCATAGTCCCACCCTATACTTCATATGTAATTTGAGCAGTTCCAGGTTTAAACAAAAGGAGCAGCCACAATTACTATATATGTGTGTAGAAGAGAGCACCTTGAGAAGTGCTAACACTCGTTTTTAGCTTTCCAAACGATTACTGATCAAATTTCAACATATTGCATCAGCAGGTTACGCCTTTATGAAGTCAGGATAGGAAGTATCCTAAATAACAGAGAACCTTTTCCACAAACTTGATGTAGTGTTTAATCGTTGAATAATAACTGGAACTATTTGTATCTTGGTAGATAGAAAGGAAAAAAAACTTACTTTCCTTACTGAAGGTGGTACTTCTACCTCCTTTGATGAATCCCGACTGATAAAAGGTGTCAAATATTAAAATAATTGAATAAGGTAAAAAAATTAAGCTTGTATTATATCATATACTATTTTTATTTAAGTTTCAAATAATAGAATAATTGGAGCATGATAACATAAGGCAACATGCTATTTATCTTCATTACAATGCGTTTCAGCATACCTACACTTTTCAAATGCCTTTAGGATGAGCTAGGTAAGTTTGGTTTTGGGGTTTTTTTGCCACCAAGGCTGTAGTTTTTCCTAAGGCAGCTTGAAATATTAAAAAATATAATTTAATACAGAAAATTCATAAAAATATAATTAAGTTTAAAATTATTTTAATCAATGTTACTGCTTCCTTTAGATCTATATGACACAATACTAAATATGTTACCTGAAAATTAAATTCCACTGAGTTAAGTGGAGTTTATTCTGATGTCCAGATGCATGTTTTCAGGTTTAAAGGTTACTATTAATGGAAAGTGAATTATTCTGATGGATTATGATTATTTAAGAATACAAAATATCTTTGAAACTATTCAAAATTCAATTATTATGTTAATACTTAAAATACTCACTGTTGTAATTGTTGTATATGCTGGATTTGTTGTGAGGCTCTCTTAAGATATGTTTCCAGCTTTGTAATCTGAATGGAATAATCTATTTCAGTCATTTAAGTTCTGTAATCTTTCTTGTCACTCATAAAACTCAACCGTGTTTAACGGAAATATTCCATACTAAAGGATCAGTACTCATAGTCAAAATATTTTAACTGCTAGATGAGACACCAAAAGGCCTTGATTTGGCCCATGTGTTAGTGGGAACTAGGAACCCGTCTGCATCTGCTATGTTCTGACATTTAAACTATCAATAATGCTGGTACAGTATGTTATTTGATCTATTACATTTTATTAATACATATCACAACAGAAATGTGACTTCATCAAGCCTTAATACACTACCATATTCAATTCAACATGAATCCAAAGTACCTTTTCTCTATAATGTGCTAATAGACGTCTTCTGTGTTTTTCCTGAAACTGGGCAATCTAAAAATTAAGAAAACACAGGAACAATGGTTGGTATTGTTAAATAATATTATGATAAACATCTAAATAAGTAATAAAAATCTAGCAGAAGTTAAATATCTAAGTGCATACTTAACTTCCAAGCACCATATTGATGTGGGGAGTACAGTAAACATTAAGGATTTTTTTCCTTTCCATTTCTGAAAAATTTCCTTCAATTTTTCAGAAATGTTTCAGCCTAAGCTTCATGCCATGTGCAAATATACTAACATGAATTTAATGAATTGATCACTTGTAGATGAAATGACATATTTGAAGCACACATTACACAACGACATTATTTTATTGCATAAACCACAATATATCTAATTCACATATGCTAAGCCATAAAATACTGTACAAGCTACATGTTAAGCCAAAACCATATTAAGGTTTAGTATAAAATGTGAGCTTAGTCAGAGTGTAAACATTCCTGAAAACTTGAAATGTCATAAATGTTTGGTGTGAGTAACAGCTTTATTTCCTGGCATACAGCTCTTGACATTTTTAAAGAGGTCCCAAACTTTAAAATAAACATTTAAACCTATTCTTGTAGATTGTATCTCATCCTATGGCAAATGGGCAAACCCTCAAGGTTCCTTATGCAATTTCTGAAGGAATGTGGCTCTACACTGTTTCCCTCCCCAGTCCCTTTGATAGGAACTTCTTAGCCTGTAGACGCATTTCAACATGAATAATAAATAATGAATCCTGATTTTTTAATTACTATATTACAATCCTTGCATACCAAACTCTGTTGATTTATCATGAAATTACTCATCTTCATTAAAAAAAAGAAAAGACTTTCCTCACAGCTGCTTCTTTTTAAGGCCATAATACTACTTGCAAGCATAGACAGCAATGTTCAACTAATTTTCCTTATCACTGGACACAGCTAAATCATATTTCAGCTTGGATCATCTAATTCTCTGATTTTCTCTAAACCTTCACTTGTAGCAGTATCCAATTTCTGCTAAAGGAATCCTGACCACTAAGGGCTCAGGACTGACTGCCGCCAGGAAATCCTTATCGTATTACAATTTCATACTATTCTAGATATTGTAAATTTAATAGTACAATGGAGCTTTATTACATTTAAACATTACAGAGGATGGATGAAACATGCCTAGATTTGCATTTACGTGCTCATTCAAGACTGTGTATCAAAATCACATTCTGTCTTCTATTAGTGTTACATGAAAAGTAATTAACCATAGCTATTTGAAACTACTTAATCTCATTACAAACCAATACTAAATTCAATTTCTTGCTGTGGGTCAGTGACAATTTGGTGATGAAGATTATAATCTAGCATCATGGTCCAGAAATTCTGTGAACTCACAGTGAACTCACAGGGAGCCATAGGATATTTTAAATTTTTTAGGGAAACACAGCAATACTTGACGTCTATCAGACACTGCATGAAGCTCTGTGAGTTCACTGTGGCACTCCAGGGCACCATAGCACACAATTTGGAAACTGTGGGGCGTTGTGAAAAAATTATTGAGACACTAAGAGCACTGTGAACCGAGAAAGTTTGGGAACCTCTGATCTAGCATACAGTATTCATGATGAAACATATTCACAATAATTCACAAACAACTCACTTGTGTGACTTCTTTGGAATATTTTCTGCATAACCCATCTAATCCCATAAACAGTGACTGGATATCTGAATTCACCTGTAGCCAAATGTATTTATTACACATTACCAAACAAACAAACAAACAAATAAATAAAACTCAAGTATATAAATACTAAAAAAATAAGCAATTCTGCTCAGTAACGGAGATATTAATTTCTTTAGAAAGATATTTATGAAGCTACAGAGAGGTTATTATAGCTCTAATGTGCAGCACTGCACAAAAAGAGTGAATTCTAAGTGCTGTCACAGCATCACACTATATCACCACCCCAAAGAAAGCTACCAAAAGTGCCACTATCAACTATACTAAGTATTCTACCAGTGGTGTGCATGTTTACATACTTGGGCATAGCTCCATGATCAGAAGGAAAACACACTTATTTAAAATGATGTACCATTGGCACCAATATTTATAGCCTGCTTTTCCTCCAGGAACTCAAAGCCATGTGCACAGCATCTCCTCCTCCATTTTTTCCACACAATCACTCCCATGTGTCAGCCCTACAAGGTACACCAGACCAGGAAACTGACTCCACAGGAAGACTAGAAGTATACTTTACTGAGGTAGGCTATACAGTAAAGTAAACTTGCAAGTCTGATTGTATTTTTCCTCCCTTCCCTCTTATAGCCCAGTGGGTCAGGGAAGGGTCAACCTGAGTTTCTTCTTAATGCCTCTCTCTTCCCAGCATTTAAAGAATGCTTCTATCCTTTTTGTTTACATAACAGTTTCTGAGTATTTGCTTCAAGGCTACCTCCCTGGCTCTCTACACCATGTGAGACAGGTTGGCCTGAGAGAGTGACAGAATCCATATCACTCAATGAGCTTCCATGGTTGAAAGTAGTCTTGAACTTGGGTTTCCATGTGCTAGTACAACACCTTAATCATTATATCACACTGTATTTGTTTCTGTGAATGTGTTTCACAGAATAGGTTCTGTGAATTTGTTTCTGTGAACCTATGAAAATATATATTACATTTGAAAATTACTGAATGTACTGTAACTATATGTACTTCTTTCTATACAGTACCTTTTTTGAAAGGACTATTGTACGACATGGAGCTCTGCAAATCATACACTCATCTTTTGTACCTACAAAATAAACATAAATGAATACTGTACTACATGTTATTTTACTGGCAAATATGTATTGTAATGTCTAATAAATTGCATATTGTGTCATTCACAATTATGACTTGGAATTATTTTAGTTTTTTTTTTAAAGCAGCATATCCATCATGTCTTTTTTAAACATAACTGCAATGCAAATGCTTAGACAAGGCCTTAATACTGTACCGGAAAATTTCTTAAAAAGAAAATATTTGGATTTTCCCAGAAATGGGATTCACCCAGAAATGCAAGGACTGCTTCAATTACCCCATTAGAAGAGAATATATGTAGTTCAAGGTTGAACTGTGGAGTCCTTGATGCTCTCTGAGCTTGGTTGTTTGTTTGCAGACATTTCATTACCCAACTAGGTAACATCGAGGTTACCTAGTTGGGTAATGAAATGTCTGCAAACAAACAACTAAGCTCAGAGAGCACCAAGGACTCCACAAGTTTCAATTATAGATAGGTTTTCTAAAATAAAATTGTTCCTTTCTCCCATTGTTTCTGCCCGTCCAGTAAGACCTAACAGTATGCGCATGTTCCAGTCCCATCTTTAAAACAGTGTCATCTTATGAGACCCAGGTAATGTGCCTACTCTGTCACAATGATGATGCAAGAAAAAATTGGCACTGATGAAGCTCTAGAAACAGGATTAATTAACTCTTTTGAAGCCTTACCAAACTGCAAACAAGAAGAAATACTGAGACGACTGAATGAATTGAAACAAACATTGCTGCTAACCTAAGCGGCAGCCAAATCTTTAATTGACTTGATATCTTTGGACCTCTCATCTGACAGCAACTCTGCAGAAAAGCATACAAGCTCTCTGAATCCTGTAATCGAACCCGCCACAGAAGGAAAATACCCTACACCCCAGCAAGCCCACTTGTCTTTTTATTCTAAAACAGCCCAAATTGATTCCATCTTGTTCAGTTTCAGATAATGACAACCTGTTTCATACTGTACTATCTGAAGGCCTAGATCAGAAAAAAGGACAAAAGAAAATTGCTGTTTCAAAAGTATATTCTAACCAAGATCTCCAGCTTGCAAATCCAGCCAGGCCCAGAGACAGCAAACTAATTGATAGTCCAAAGTTGCTGCCTGCTAATGCTTCCCATTCTGATGAGAACATCAGTACAACTTCATTAGTATGCCTTCTTGTACCTAGAAGAACATAACACTTCAAATGTGACCAATTGCCTCACTCCTAAGGCTCCAGGTTACATAACAGCCACTTCTTGGAATATTGCTGGGTGGCACAGTAATTTGGTTGGATACCTGTCTTGAACAGTACCTGTCAGAATTTAACATCATGTTATTACAGGAGACATGACGCCTGGATATTTCTTCTCCTTCCTTGTCAGGATTCTGCTCATGTACCATTTCTGCCACTAAATTGGGTTTGTATGGAAGAGCAAATGGTGGGTTATCAATTTTGATCTCAGCTAATAAGAAAGGAACCATACACAACAAAGGGATTGGTCAGGCAGTGATTATATCCAGGTAGTCCAGACAGATAGCAAATATTTGGGTTCATTCTTTGCATTAAAGTCTATTTTCCAATAGGACAGAACCCAAATCTGCATCTTAAGTCCTGGTCCTCCCTGCAAACCCTTTTGGAGACAGCTGAACAAATATTACCAAATGCAAATATCCTACTGGCTGGTGATTTTAACCCCAGAATTGGCAAAGATATTAGCAGTTATGTTAGGAAGATGGAGTTTAGTCCAGAGGATCAATGGTATTTGCCCTGGTCCTCCACGGACAAATTATTAAACAAACAAGGGGTTTCCTTATTGAATCTGGCCTTTACGTATAGGTTATACAATCTCCATGGCTCCAACTTTGACATTTCCAGGGGCATTATACCTTTCTAAGCTCATTTGAAGCCATTACATCTTGATTTCTCTTGCATTCATTTCCCAGGTTAGCTCCTCTGATGTCCACAACCGAGCAGAAAGTGATCATCTACCCTTGGTTCTTTTGGCTTATAAGTCCCGCCCCCCCCGGAGGTACCATAATTTTGATGGCATCACCCAGGTTAAATATAATTGCAGATGGAGCCCTAACCTCAGTGTGAAAATCACTGCTTTTTAAAATACTCCACAGATGCTGAATCAATCCAATGTACAGTATATCATATTTTTAGTTCAATTAATAGTGCACTAAGCTCCCAGCTTACTACCTGTTATCCTAGTAGGAATAATACAAGGAAAGGATGTATGACCAAGACTGTAGAAACAAAAGACAAGCTCTGAGAAAGCTACAGAGGAGAGTTAGAGAGGAAAGGGCAGATGCCTTGATTCAGTTATTGAACCAATTTCAATCCCAATATAAGAATTTATTAAAGACTAAGAAGTTATCCTACTATAGGGATCAAAGGAAGGAACTTGGCCTCAGCTTAATTCAAAAAAATAAGAGGAAATTTTGGGAATTGGTGGCTAATGGTATCTCCACACACAGCACCATGCCCCATGCATGTATCTCAGCACAAAGTTGAACCCAATGTTTTTCCTCCATTTATAGCTGTCCATATACTGAGCCAATAAGAGTTTCTACTGAACTAAGCAAACTGTGAGAGTGGCCAGCTGTCTATTTAAAGATGGAGGTAGGGCTACTTTCCATCACTGTTAGAATACATCTTGCATTGTTGGGGCACAAGAAGAAACTAGAAAGCCTTCATCTTGCTAAACTCTGTTTTCTCCATTATACAGCTGGGAATCAATGGACTAAACTTTTGTTACCCATTCTACAAATGTATTCCCTACCACCTTTTGGAGAACTCAGATCTTGGAACAAAGAATATATTAGAGATGGGCTTTTTGAAAGGTATGCTGATAAAGATGCCACTGCAGTACAATCATCCAAATTTTCATCTTGGTATCATTATAAAAACGTAGAAGCCTCTCCCAGTACCTGGTTAACATAACCAGTGCTTCATTGAGAAGGGCTTTAACATCCCTTTGCCTGCAGACCATGCCCTCCACGTATCTTGAAGGGAGATTTTGTAAGTTTCCTATCAAACGCCTCTGTCCTTGTGGTGTTGGTCAAGTGGGGGATGTTATCCATTAAGTCCTCCACTGCCTCATTTACAATGAAATCAGGGCCAAATTATTTATGGCAGGTGAACTCAAGGGCTCCAACCTTGAAAAATTGAACTATCTTCTTGCAGATGTGTTCCCAACTGTCAGCAACCAAGTTGCTATTTTGTTCTGCTGTCATTTAAACTTAGAAATACTTAAATTCTTAGCTGTAGCTTTGGCTTTATTTTGCTGTAACCTTTTTACATCTAATACTTTATTACTTTACAATTTCACTCTTTTATTATTTTATTGTATTTTATGGCACGCTTTACATCATGACCTGTGGTTTACAACAATAAACTTGTTTACTTACTTATTCTGTCAGATTGCCTACATTCTAGAACAACATCCCCTTGGAGGTTTGAGTTGCTCTAATCCTGCTGACCTTTAAGTAGGCTCTGAAGACCTGGCTCTTTCCCCAGGTTTTGGGTTAGAAACTTTATGCCTTTGTGGAAATTTTATCAATAAGTTGGATGATTTAGTCCCCAGGTTATTGCCTTGTGTTTTTTTAAATTGTATTGGATGTAAGTTTTAATTTGTATGCCACCCAGAATCATTTAAGAGCTAGGCAGCCATTTGGTTTATAAATTAATATAACTTTTGATCCAGTGGAGGGTATGGAAGGTCTCCTAAATTTGGACCAGATTTTTAGGGACAGAAGGAACTGTATGAAGAATAAAATAAGTTGTCTGCCATCCTATCTTGCTCGTAATGAACTCAGAATTCAAACCATATTTTCAAACCTACACCTACTTATCTGGGAATAAGATGCTTTGAACACAGCGTGTGTGTGTGTATGTGTGTGTAGAGATCAAGAAAGAGTGTGTGTCTAGGCAGTACAGTCTACCTTTTTCAATACTGACTTTAAAGCATGGAAATGCTTGAATAATTGTAAACATTCCAAATACAAGAAAGGAGAATTAATGGCAGTGAACACTGAAGCACCCTTCTCTTTGGATGTAAGTTAACATTAAGCAGGTTTATTCGTTTATTTAAAATATTTATATACCACTATTTAAAAAAATCTCAAAGTAGTTTACAATAAACTTAACAAGCTCTGTATTAGGAAATCTGATAGGTAATAGTTAAAGGAACTACAGGTAGTCCTCATTTAGCAACAGTCTTGTTTAGCAACTGTTTGCATTACAACAGTGATGAAAAAGTAACTTTATGATCAGTCCACACATTTATGACCTTTGCAGGTCTGTAAAGCAAAAGAAAGATGAAATAAGATCAAAGCATAGTCGTGATTTCACTTTGCAACTGCTTCACTTAAAGACTGAATTGCCAGTCCCAATTGTGGTCGCTAAACAAGGACTACCTATATATAGTGTGTCTGTGTGTGTGTGTGTGTGTGTGTGTG